TTCAATTCCCTCTGCAGAGGGTTCGTCCAGCTTGGTCGGTTCTCCGATGTGAGAAACCGAACTAATGTGTTTGATTTGCAGAAAGGCAGCGGAAGGAGATGGACTGAGGAAAGAGATTTGGAACAGTTGAGGGAAGCGAGGGAGAAACCTATCGATGGTTTCGAAGTGATCCGCATCGTGGGAAAGAACCCGTTCTTGTGGCACGATCACTGGGAGGTTAAGGATTACGCTAAGGTGTTTGAATGTATGGAAGTGGTAGACGAAATCCGGAGAGAAGCCGAGAGAGTGGTGGGGAAGATCAGGCAGGCAGGGGAAGAGGCAATGACAAAACTCAAACTCGGACCCGGGTTTGTCCCGAGAAGATCCGATAATCCGTCGTCATTTCCTTACACAGCGGTCCACATGAGGATAGAGATAGATTGGATGATTCACTGTAAGAAATTAGAACAGAGAAGGAACATTTCGGAGATCTGTAGCAGCAAAGAACAGATCATAGAGAGGGTCGGGAACGTCGTGGGTTCGAACACCGACACTCCCTCGGTTGTTTACCTCGCAGTAGCGGACAATCTTCTCCAAGATTCGACGTTTCTAACGGGATGGAGAGACGGGATAATCCCGTATGAGAAGAAGAGGCTTGGAGTTGATGCGATCTACAAGAAGTTTCCGTACCTGATCCAATCCGCCATTGATTACGAGGTTTGTTCGAGAGCAGATGTATTCGTCGGTAACAGCTTCTCGACGTTTTCTAGCCTTGTTACACTCGAGAGGACGCAGAAGGCAGTACAGTCGGGAGTCACGAGCTCTTGTGAAGGCAATGGCGATGGCCATCATGATGATGATGATGTTCCATGGCCATCATACGCGTATAATCTTGCGGGTAAATCGAGCAGGTTTCCTCGGAGATGGATGACGAACATGTCGGATTCGAGCTTGGAAGCTGTTAGTTATGGTTCTAACGCTGTTTCGTGTTCAAGTGTATAGATTCTTTCCCCCACTTTTGGATAAGTAGGATTATTTGCAATAATCAAACGGTCCAATACTAAATCAAATTATATATTTGTATTATAAGTTATTTTAGTTATGAAAACTTTGTGAGATGTTAAGGACTGATGAAAAATAAAAATATACACTCATATATATATATATATAACGGAATAATTTTTTTAAACAAATTCAAGGTTGTTTGTGGACAAAATGGGGCAGAGCTCATGTCTTGTTTATGGAATTTTTCCACTCTCTATTTAATTTTTTAGTTCATAATGTTTTTTTTTTGTTATATCCACATCATTAGGGCCTTCTAAATCCGGTTGTGTTTCAGATATTATATATAAATTTCAATTTATTTTGATTAATTTTAAATCACAATTCATTTTTAGATTTTAAGGATTAAACACAATGATTCGTGACAAAGTTGCCCATTTCGTATACCGATTTTATTGGAGTATTTACAAAAAGAAAAAGAGTTCAAAAGCGCGCGAAACAAAAGAGGAAGGAAGGGGATCAAGCCCATTTGGACATGAGGGCCATCCCGCCGGCGCCGAGCAAAACGGCGACGTACGACTTCAGCTGGAGCTTGATGCTCCTCTGCATCTTCTGGCCCATGAAATCGGCGGCCAGAAGATCGACCAGAGCCATGTATATCAGAAGCCCGGCCGACGACGCGTTCAGCAGCCCCACCGTTATCAGCGACTCCGGGCTATTCTCCTTGTACACCTTCGCCAGCGCCATCCCCAGTGCCACCCCGAACGGCGTCGTTCCCGCGAAGAAGAACGCCATCACCGCCTTCTTCACCCAGTCATACTCCGCCTGTGTATATATCGAAGGGTAATTAATTAGGCACGATGAAACTAAACCGGATGGAACCGAACCGGACCTGGAGGATGCAGCCGCCGAGACCCATGCCTTCGAACATTTGGTGGAAGCAAAGAGCCGCGACGAGGCCTTTAATGGTGCATGTGTTGTTCGTCGCCCCCACTGATAGCCCTATCACGATCGAGTGCACCACTATCCCTAGCTCCAGTACCTGTGTTAACAACCTTATATCAATATATATACACATATAATTATATGGAATATATCCCTATAAAAATGGATCAGTTAATAAAATGCTGCCAATTTTCTGTGCATAGATGTTAATATGGTGAATTACGTCAGCATTCCATAATAGAAATTGTAACTGGATTAATAATTAACTGATCATGTGAGTAAAAGATGAACAGTATTTGACTAGTTGGTGTACTTTTTTTTAAAACTTCAAAACTTATATATTAGTATAAATTGGTGTGTTTATTTAAGGTTTTCCGGTATATTATACTCTTTCTATTTTACCATTATTGAATTTAAAAACTATACCGCATACTAACCACGGCAATAACTCGATTCCTTAGAAGTTGAGTATTAGAACCAATCTCCTTATCGTTAGAACTGGATCCATGAAAGTGTCCGTGTCCGTGTCCATGCACATGAACATGGGTCGTCGTCGTCTCGGCTCGGCCCATCTCCTGGTCCGGAGAGTTCTGGGCCTCGGCCACCGCAGCAACGACCGAGTCGTGGCGGCCGGACCTGGTGAAGACGGAGGTGGCGATGGAATCAACCATGAGAGTGAAAATGGCTGAGACCATGGCGGCAAAACCGGTGAAAGGAAACTTGTGCCATGGGTCATCGCTCAGACAAGGTGACGACAGCATGTTGAAAGAATCCGGCAAGACGTGCATGAATCCGGTGGAGAGGATGATCCCTGAAGCGAAGGATTTCACGATCAGGAAGAGCGATTTCTCCGGCTGAAACACCGCCAGGGATCGGCTGAAGAACGGGAGGCAGATTCCGATGAGACTCGTGACCAGGATCGTGAAGATGGCTATGAGTTTTAGTGTCACAGCTTTGGATTTGTCCGTACATGTGTTGTCCGAACCTGCTCGACATCTGTTGTCGGGTTGTGACAGAGCTCCGGGGACGCCGGAGATGGCGAGGAGGATGACGACGGCGGCGGCGGCGGAGATGGCCGGAGCTCTTGGTTTAGTCATTTTTTCGCGACTCAAATTTGGTCAATGGGATGGGAAATGAGGAACATTTTCTATATATAGGCGTGTCTGACATTATGTTGTAATTATACTTACGATTATATTAATATGTTGACTTTGGGTTAGCAGAAATGATAATGCGATTATTTGATCCGTACACCTTCGTACATAATGAAGTACAGAGACTAATATATAGAAAAAACAATTTAATTTGAAGAGGCGTGCGAATATGCTCTAGCTTTTTTAATTTGATATACATTTATTAATGCATATAACCCATACTCTATCGAGTATCTGAATAATTATAGTATAAAAATTCGAAATTTGATATCGCATGTTCGTGGATTTCTACAGTCCAATTCAATTTTAAAAAAAAAATGAAAGGAATTTTATAATTTGTAATTACAGATATTTTATTATGTAAAAAATTAAGGCGATTTCATAAATTTCAAAAAAAAGATAACTATATTTTTTATTATTAATTATATATTAAAAGCTATGATAACGCGAACGACCGCTTTGAGACCTTTTCAACTGTTCCAAAAGATTAGCACATTAACATTATAAGTAAATAAAATGGATTAGTTATTATATTATTAAACAACGGTTGACTTCCGTCTATTCTCTAATCTATCTTCGTGACGAACGGCGCCGTTTTTGTCGTTATCTTTGACAAGGATGTACACAATCTATCTTTAAGCTCACTTGATAATTATATGTTAATTTTAATGTTTGCTTAGCGTATTTAATCTCCCTATTTAACAATTTCCTATATCCATAGAACCAGTGCCGTCTCATTGTTAACAGAGGCACCGTGCAAATACTATATATCTATATCTATTTTTTTATTTTATTTTTTTTTATCAATTTTAATATATATATATATATATATTGAGATTTCTTAAAATTATATATTTTTTCAATCATAAAATAGAAAACTAATTTTATTATTATTTTTTATGATAACATTATAAAAAAATTTTAAAAAATATGACTCAATTTTTAAAAATTAAAAATAACATAAATTTTTTTTAAAAAAAATGAGATTCCACAAAATTAGGGGCCTTTTTCAAATGCACCACTTCCACCCCTATAAGACCGCTCTCCAAGAGTTGGACATAGAAAATTTAATATATATATATATATATATATATTATCAATTTGGAGTAAAAAAAAATATGTGAATGGTTTAATTTATAAAATATGAAACTGGACAGCTACGCAAATCTTGGTATATCCAAGAAAAAATATATCCTATTATATAGGCATAGAACAAAGTCAACATCACTTTTCAGCCAATTTGTACGATTTTACTTAGAAATTTTGAGGTTGGCTCATTTAAATCTTATATATATATATGCATTTTTTTTTTGAGAAATCTATGTGAATATATACTTTCCAAATGGATATTCGTGAATTGAAAACCAAATAAAAATGAGAAAAAGTAGTTTTATCTCATCCTTAACATATAATCTTGTCGTATATATATTTATAATTTGTCTTCCATAATTCTGGGATATAGACATTATTATGTCGTAATTATATTTATATTAAGATTAACACTAACGTTCTTCAAACCCCGATTCCATACAATTTTAAAAACACATGTACATACATCCTATTAAAAAATTAAAATACGAAAAACAAAATAAGACAATATTAACTTGTGGGATTTGTTGTTCTGTTTGGTAAAGTAAGATAAGTAAAATAACAGGAAGTTTCTAATTGTCTCATTCAACCTGAAGCAATGTCGTACATATAAACAGAGAGAAAGAGAAACAAACTCCTATATCTTAGGAGATACAATCGTGATCTGATAAACACAAATAAAAGATTGAGATAGCGATCGAAATCTATCAGTTGAGCTAACTACTTGTAACACTCCCCCTCAAGATGGAGAATACAGACAATGGATTCCCATCTTGGACAAAAGACGGCGGAGATGATCGACCAAGACAGGTTTCGTAAGTAAGTCTGCGATCTGATCGCGAGAGGAGGTGTGAAGCGGTTTCAGAAAACCCGAATTGACTCGTTCTCGGACAAAATGGCAATCAAGTTCGATGTGTTTGGTGCGCTCATGGAAGACCGGATTGTTAGCGATATGCACCGCCGACTGATTATCGCAAAATAAAGACACTGGTCGCGGACAGAAAACGTGTAAATCTCGAAGAAGAGAATCGATCCAAACTAGTTCACATGTAGTCTGTGCCATGGCACGATACTCGGATTCTGCGGAGCTGCGAGATATTGTCGGTTGTTTCTTCGACTTCCAGGAAATAAGAGCACCGCCAAAGAAAACACAAAAAACAGTAACCGAACGTCAAGAATCGGGACACGCAGCCCAATCGGCGTTGGTATAAGCTGTAAGGCGAGCATCAGAAACTGCTGGATATAAGAGACCCTGTCCAGGAGCAGCTTTAAGATATCGCAACACTCGGTAGGCAGCTTGAAGATGAGTGGTTCGAGGATGCGACATATATTGGCTCAGCTTCGTTACAGAGTAGCTAATGTCTGGACGAGTAATAGTCAAGTAAATTAGCTTCCCGAGAAGAGCCCGATAATGTGTAGGATCAGGTAACAAATCGCCGGAATCAGCACTAATTTTCTGACCAAATTCCATCGGAGTTGTAAGAGGCTTGCAAGCAAGCATACCGAAATCCTCCAAAAGTTCAAGAGTGTATTTCCTCTGACATAGCGAGATGCCCTGACGTGATCGAGCAACTTCCAGACCCAGGAAATAGCGCATATCTCCTAGATCCTTTAACTGAAAATGAGAACTCAGAACATCCTTCAATTCCTGTAATAACAGAGCATCATTACCAGTCAACAGCAAGTCATCAACATATATGAGAATGACAACCAAACTGGAACCCTTCGTCTTCGTAAAAAGTGAACAATCAGAACGAGATTGCAGGTAGCCAGCATCAAGAAGCACCCGAGACAGCTTGAGATTCCACTGGCGGGAAGCTTGTTTCAAACCGTAAAGGGATTTGTTAAGGCGACAAACAGAATTAGGCGGTATAGACTCCCCCTGAAGTGCAGAGAATCCCGGAGGCAAGTTCATATAGATTTCTTCACTGAGATCACCGTTCAAGAAGGCATTGGAAACATCCATCTGTTGTAAAAGCCAACCATTGGCAGCTGCAAGTGCAAGGAGAATACGAACCGTAGTGATCTTCGCAACCGGGCTGAAGGTATCAAGATAATCGATTCCCTCAACTTGCGTGTAACCCTTCGCAACCAAACGCGCCTTGTAACGTTCGACGGATCCATCTGGATTGAACTTCGTCTTAAAGACCCACTTACAACCAATCGGACGTTTCCCGGCAGGAAGATCGCAAACAGTCCATGTATTGGTTCGAGATAAAGCTGCTAACTCCAGACGTATAGCCTCTCTCCATTCAACAAACTGTGCTGCTTTAGTATAGGTAGTTGGTTCAGGTAAAGTGGAAATGGATAAGGCAAAGTGGCGAAAAATAGGGTTGAGTCTGTCATAGGAGAGATAATAAGATAAGGGAAAAGGTGGTAATGAAGTTTCTAGTGGTGTTTGGTTATGGGTAATCATATAACAATGATAATCGGATAAATAGGCAGGGGGTTTAACCAGTCGTGTGGGTCGGTCATTGTTCTCTGCATCATTAGTTACAGGAGACGAAGAAGAAGGAACTATGGAAGAAGAAGACTCAGGAGGTGAAATGACTGTAGGAGAAGAAACCGGACAAGAAGCTGGAGAAGACGAAGACTTAGGAGTAGAATGAACAACCGACAAAGGTGTGTCATAGAGGAAAAAAGGAGACTGAGGAAAGAATTCAACAACAGAGGATGGAAGAGGATCAGTTTTGAAGGGAAATATAGTTTCATGGAAAACTACATTACGAGAAACAGAAATTCTGTTAGAATGTAAATCCAGAACTTTATATCCCTTCACACCGGAAGGATACCCAAGAAACACGGAAGGCTGAGCTCGGGGAGAAAACTTATCTCGATCTTTAAGATGGGTAGATACATAACAAAGGCACCCGAAAACTCTAAGATGAGCATAGGTTGGGATAGTTGAAGTAAGGGCTTCAAAAGGTGATCTGTTGTCGAGTAATGGAGTGGGCGTTCTGTTTATTAAATAAACAGCAGCAAGAATACAGTCCCCCCAATAAGGAAGAGGAACGTTAGATTGAAAAAGCAAAGAACGAGCCACATTTAAGAGATGTTGGTGTTTGCGTTCGACAACAGAATTTTGCTGTGGTGTATATGGGCATGAGAAGAAGTGTGTGATGCCTCTAGCGAGTAAAAGATTAGTGAAGGCAAGTTCAGGGGCGTTGTCGGTTCTGATCGATTTGACAGAAGCAGAAAACTGGGTTTGCACAAGAGTCAAAAACTGAGGGAATTTAACAGAGGCATCACTTTTATTGCGTAAGAGATAAATCCAAGTGACTCGAGTACAATCGTCGACAATCGTGAGGAAGTACCGATGGCCATCTACCGTAGGTGTATGGAACGGACCCCAAATGTCGAGATGTAATAAGTCGAAAGGAGAAGAAGACAATTTTGCAGAAACAGGAAAAGAGAGAGCCTTTTGTTTAGCCAACGGGCAAACATTACAATGTAAGGCTTTATTCAAAGAAGAAAAACGAAGATGACCCGAGCTAGCCAGACCATGAATCTTGATGTCGGACGGGTGACCAAGACGGTGATGCCAAATGTCCAGACTTGCAGAAGAAAGAGTTGAGCAGACTGTAGAAGGAAAAATGGGAGAAGGATCATGCATCTCGAGAAGATACAGATCATGATGACGACGGCCCTGACCAATCATCGACCCCAGAGTAAGGTCCTGAATGGAGTATGAATCACATGAGAAAATAACAGAAAGATGAGAATGCTTGGTTAAAGAGCTGACACTAAGCAAATTATAACGAAATGTCGGAACAAATAAAACAGACTGTAGAACAAGTGATGGAGAAATGCAGACAGTTCCAGATTCGGAAACAGGAATAGAAGAGCCGTTAGGCAATGAGATAGAAACAGACGGAATGACGCTAATGGAAGAGAACAATGACCTGTCACAACATACATGGTTGCTGGCACCGGTGTCCAAAATCCAGGTGGTTGGTGAAAAAATGAAGCGGGTAGACTGGTGAGAGAAAATGTTACCTGGGGAAGAAGTCTGTGGAGCAGCAAGGTTTGCGTCAGATAGAGAGTGACTAAGGCCTTGGAGTTGAGTGCTGAATTTCGAAATCAATGTCTGAGCCTGTTCCAGAGGAGTCATGCCGGAAACAGAGGAAGATCCAGCAGGCAAGACAGAATCGGTAACGTCCGAAGATACATTGATCGAATTGATGCGAGGTTGTGTCATGTCACCAGACTGATTGGGAGAAGAATTCGTGACTCTAGGACGAGAGTTCCACGAATTCGGAGAAGCCAGCTTGTGACCCTGAGGATAGCCATAGATTTTGTAACATCGATTAACCGTATGTCCAAGCAAACCACAGTGAGTACATTGAGGTCTTGGTTTCGATTGTTGTCTAGTGGAAGACCGCTGCATATGCTGATCAGAAGGAAGCCTTGGCCGAGAACCAAATGTCTGATTGGTAAATGCAACAGAATCAGATGGAGAAGAATGTACCAAACGTTGTTGTTCCTCTTGCGAAATGAGATTGTAGGATTTGCTGAGATCGGGAAGGGGATCCATCATTAAGATTTGGCGACGAGCGGGTGTGTAAGAGTCATTAAGCCTCATCAGAAAACGAACCACATTCCGTCGATCAAAGAAATCCTGCCAACGTTTGGAGAGATCACACGAACATCCATTGCAGGAACAGATCGGGATGGACTCATGATTCTTAAGCTCTTCCCACAGAGCTGTTAATTTGGTGAAGTATCCATTCAAATCCAAAGACCCTTGATGAAGGTTGTCAATCTGTTGCTGGATATTATAAATTTTGGAGACATTCTGAAGCTTGAAACGATTCTCCAAACTTACCCAGATTTCACGAGCATTGTCAAAGTAGACAATCAGGCTGGAGATATCAGCAGCAACTGCATTAGTAAGCCAAGTGCAGACGAGGTCGTTGCAACGGGACCATAAATTGGCAGATGTATCGCCATCAGGAGGTTTCGGTAGAGTGCCATCAACAAAGGCGAGCTTGTTCTTGGCATTGAGAGCTTTGAGCATCGAGCGAGACCACACATTGTAGTTGGATTCTCCGAGCAGTTTCTCGGAAATCAACGTAACACTAGAAGTGTCAGCGGCATGTAAATATAAAGGGTTGGAATAAGGGTCAAGAGGGAAAGAATTGGTCAAAGGAAATGCTGCAGAAGTAACAGCAGCTGAATGATCTGGGGAGTCTGACATGATTGGAAATGAAAATAAATCAACAGAACGGTAAGCGGAGCGTTGATAGCTCTGATACCATATTAACTTGTGGGATTTGTTGTTCTGTTTGGTAAAGGAAGATAAGTAAAATAACAGGAAGTTTCTAATTGTCTCATTCAACCTGAAGCAATGTCGTACATATAAACAGAGAGAAAGAGAAACAAACTCCTATATCTTAGGAGATACAATCGTGATCTGATAAACACAAATAAAAGATTGAGATAGCGATCGAAATCTATCAGTTGAGCTAACTACTTGTAACAGACAAAAAAAACATAATTAATTTTGTATTACATCTCTTCTTATTCTTGTTGTTAGCATTACAATAAAAATAATTTACATATTTATAAAAAAAATTAATAAATAAAATAAAAAGAAAATATAGATACAATAAAAACAAATTAGATGGATAATATTTAACATATTAATATTGTATTCATTATTATTTCCAATCATATCTCAAAATCTACATTTTACTTTCACCATATATTCATTTTTCTATTTCAAAACATTCATCTATTTAAATTCTAAAGAAGTATAATTCTTTTTTGAGATCAATGGAATTGTACTATTTTTACATTATTGTGATTAAATAGAAATCAACACTTTAATCAGATATAAAACCTAGATAAAAGATAGAAATAACACGTAAAAAGTTGCGATGAAAAATGATTGCAATATGATAACAGCTGCAACGTCTTAATCTCAGTTTTTAATTTATTCGAGATCGATCGAATTACAACATGATAATATCAAATTAACTATTTTTATTTACCAATATATATATATATATATATATATATATTTAAAAATTACATGATATACTTTTAATTTGTTCTCCTCATGTTTGCTACGGTCTACTTACCAAGGAGCAGTGTATAAGGTTTATTTAAATTTTAGAACGTATGTTCTAAGCAATCATACATTTGTTATGTACAAATTTTATTCACGTTCCAAAACTCTATTTTCCGCTCTATAGAGAAAATCTAAAAAATATCCGAACTTATCAATTTCTACCAAATAAAATCTAAATTTTATTTTTTATCCTATAAAACTATAAAACTTCAACATGATGTTATAAATAAATTTAATATGTATAATAATTATCATTTTTAAACTTTTCGTTGACGTGATATAGCGAAATCATGATATATATATCATGAAAAATGTTAATATAGATATGTTATGCAATCATTTAGATTTGAAAATGATAAAGTTTATAAAATTTGAGTTTATTTTTTGACAGAAATTAGAATTTTATTTGATAAAAAAAATCCATTAAATTTTATTTTGTGAAAATTGGAGAATTTGTATTTTTTTTGAGATTTTTTCTATTCTATACGCGGAATTTGTTCTTCATGTTATCAAAAAATTTAAAAATATTTTTCTATTTCCATATATGTAAAATAGGCATTTCTTTGATAGGAATACGTGATTCAGTCCTTTCATCCATCATTCTATTTGTATTGCGAACAGATCGAGTGCTCTCTCTCTCTCTCGTTCACAAACATTGATTGGAACTCAAGCTTCCGAGGAGACTTCAGATTTCCCCATTGGGCTCGCTTTTCCACTCACGATTCCTTCTCCGCCGCTGATGAGTCAGAGTCTTTCCTTCTACTCTCTTCTTTGCTTCTCCGTTTCTTCAGGTTCGTTCCCGTTTTCCCTTTTAGATTCTCCTCTTTGCATCTTCTTGCTTTTTTCGCCTTCGTGGATTCCCTAGATCAGATTTTACTCCGATTTGTTTCCAGGATCTCTGTCTACCATGGATTATTGGGTCATTTTCTCCGTTTTTTTTTCAGTGTCTTCACGCGTTTTTATCATCTGGGTATCGCCTGTTCTCGTCTAATCCGCGTTTGGGTGTTCCACGAGTTTCAGTCTGACTCTAGGGTTACCTTATCTGGGTAGATCGAAAACTTGGCATTTATTCTATCGAGATAGGCGGATAGATTCCATGGCTCACCTACATTTTTCTGGATTTAGGGTATGATTTTCTGTGACCATAGTAATTGGCATTGATACTGGGTCGAGATCAAGATACTGGCTTTGGGAATGAACGTTATCTTCATATGGATTCTGTTGTAGGAGGGAAAGGTGAGATGAGACAGGAAACAGCAGGTTGAAAGTTCACTTCCACGAAGCTCTCCGTAGTTGTAGTTACAATGTCGGCGTCTACACAGACAATCACGGCCATGAAGTCTTACCACAATCAAGCTCAGGACTTGGTTAAGAATTATCTCCTGGCTGATCCCTTTATTCCTTATACGTCTATTCTTACCGGCATTTTTCTCTGCAAAGTGGTACTGTTCTTTAAACTCGGGCTTACAGATTCGTGACACTATTAGGTCCTGTCTATTATGGTATGATTTTTTCTGTTGTTGCAGGTCTATGATCTTTTTCACTTTATGAGCAACTCCCATTCCAAGACATATATCATTCTCACGAAAATTCAACGAATTGAATGGAACAACCGGTGAGGCGTTGATTGTTTTGCTTTTAAGTTTTATGTGCCATTTGGGATCTTGGGGTTTTGGTTTTGAATCAATGGTCTTAATCTGGCAGTGGTATCTCAACAGTTCATGCCATTTTTATCTCGGTTGTGGCTGTTTACTACGTCTTCTGGTCCGACCTCTTCTCCGATAGGTGGCATAATGATCTTGTGGTTTTCCGAAGCTCACCACTTTCCTCCTTCTGTTTAGGCGTAAGTGCTAATAATCGGAGTTTGTTTCAGATACAAATGCAAGACAAGAATCATCAACACGAAATGTATATATACGGTTATTGCAGGTATCTATAGGTTACTTCCTTGCTGATCTCGGGATGATCTCTTGTATGTATCCTTCCTTGGGCGGTCTAGAGTATGTAAGTAACTATTCTTGGCCAAAGATTTGGGAAATCTTCTCGAATATTCAAATTGGTGATTCATCTATATGCTTCTGCCTCGTTCAATCACTTCCATGTATAGCTTTTGTAAGGCAACTGACCATCAAGACATTGGAGTATTTGTTGTGGGCAAAGGTTAGATAGAGAAGCAGTCCATGACAATGATAGATGAGAAAAACTCAAATGGAATGGTGTTTCAGGTTGTGCATCATTCTCTGTCGGGAATAGCAGTTGCCTATTCTTTGTTTTCTGGAGAAGGACAGCTATACACCTACATGGTCCTCATCTCCGAGGTGACAACCCCAGAGATCAACTTGAGATGGTGAGACTCCGTTCTCGTAAACCGTAGTAACTGTCACCTGAGCTCTTTTCTTGACCGAAAATCCGGTTTCCTGTTCTTATGAAGGTACCTGGACACTGCTGGTATGAAGAATTCCGGTGCCTACCTTATCAACGGTGTTATCATCTTCTTAGTTTGGCTGGTATGAAAGTCACTGGCCTACCCCCGTTTAATATCACTATCTTTTTACGAAGAATTGCTCACACAAATGATTCCTTCTTATGATTTATGGCAGGTTGCAAGGATTCTGCTGTTCATCTACATGTTTTATCATGTCTACCTGCATTACAACCAGGTAGTAATCATTAGTTTCTTCTTGTCGTCTCTTTCATTCTCTGGCAAGTTCATCGTCGTAAACTCAAAATCTGGCAGTGTCTGGATCCATAGATGCCCGACCACATCCGGACCCACTTGAAATTATGATACCAGAAGCTAAGATATCTGATGAATTATGGTTTCTGAAACGCACTTGTTTGGTTCTGGTAGGTAATAAGGATGCACATCTTCGGTTATCTCCTGGTTTTCGTGGTACCGGCAGCACTCGGTGTGATGAACTTGATATGGTTCGGTAAGATCGTGAAAGGGGTGAAGAAAACTTTAGCAAAGAGACGGTGAATGATTCTCCTAATATATATCCCACACGTTCATCATTGTTCCTCCGTGAGGGTGCGTGTAGTGTAAGTAGCTGTCTGATAGAGCAACAACAAAAAGAAAATGGTATGGTCCTCTTTGAGTCTGTAAATGATCAAATGCCACGCACCATTTCTCTTATAATATAATATATCTCAGTAATTCGGTCTCCGTTGTTCATTTCTTTCCGGTTCACATGATCCTCGGTTTCGGTTAACTCTGTTTCATCGGCCAGTGGAACAGGCTGGTTAACGTTTGGTTTAAACCGGTGTTCGTCTTTTCGTGATTATCACTTCAGTAAACCGGAATAAACGCCTTTTATGCATGTTCTAATCTCGCGTAAGATGTTGATTTCGATTATGAATTGGTTCGATTACTTCTGGATTTGGTTTCTTCCTGACATTGTACTGACGTGGCGTTATCCAATTGGCTGAGAAACACATCAGCACAAACAGAGCCATAAATTTATCATTTACATACAGGAATATATTTGATTACACACACGGAAGCAATCGCGAAACCTTTTTTTTTTTTTTACGGAAAAATCTAAACAAGAGCATATCCATGAGAACCAAAAGTGACGAACATCGTTGTAAGGATGAAATCAGAGGAAGAAGAAGGGAGAAGACGAGTTCAGACATGGTGAGAATTATCGGGCTTGAGGTGAGGAGACGGCGGAGAGACGGCGGCGCCTGGAGGAGGAGCAGGAGCTCCGTACACCTGAGGATTCGTACGGATGTCTTGGCGGCCTCTGGATCTGCCGAGGAAGTAGCATCCGAAGCCCAGAAGGAGACAGAACAGAATCAGAGGCAGAGAGATCACCACCACCAATCCCATCTTCTTCGATCTTTCTCTTCTAGGTTTTTCTTCAATGGGTTTTGCTTGCTTGATTCGATGTGTGTGTGCGTGTACATGTGTATATGTATATATAGATGAGTGTTGTGTGGTGTGTATGTGGATTGTGGAGTTTCGTGTGATCTGGAAGCATCAGATTCTCTGTCCAGAAGGTTTAACGTTCAAGTCTCCAACGGTCACTTATTTGGTGGGCCCCTGATATTTATGCGTTCCATGGAATCGAATAAAATTGAATTATTGATGAGTGGCCCGAGAAAAACAACACGCCCCTAAATAAATAACCATCAGTCCGTAATTTATTTTCCAAACGACACCACGATAATACATTAATTATATTGAGATCAACATTTGATATATATATATATATGTATATAATTAAATAAAGACAAACGAAAAATGGAACTTAAAAAATACTTTGATTTTAACTTGTTTTATTCATATGTCCATATTATATACTGAAGAAGTAAATTCACGAGTTTATATTATTTTTATTCTTGTGTCCGATAAATTTCATCATCAACACATTATATTCTTCTTCTTCTTCAGCTTCAGATATTTCTTTTACCTAACTCAGCTTCAATCTCATCTGGAACTTCTCTCCGACAAGCAAAGACAGTCTAGAAACTTCCACGCCAAGAAACCGTGGATTACTACTGTCCGAAAACGTCTTCACGACCGAAATCCTAAGGCCTTTCGATCCATCGCCTGTCCTCAGTTCGTAACCTCCGACGCTTTCCACGTCCTCGAACCCGATGAACGTTACTTTTCCGATGATCCATTTCTGGTTCAACGCGTACTCTCCGTTCACCACTTCCGATCTCAGAACCGCGGATTTTCCGGCCAACTTGCACCGGAACCTCACCAGTGTCCAGTTTCTGTTCCCTCCTTCGTCTCCCATCCGTACGTCCTCTCCGTCGTCCAGAAACACTTCCCCTGAGACGTTCTCTAGCCGGCTTGCCACCACCAGTAGCTGAAACGGCGTCGTTCTGGCTTCCCTCGTCGTCATTGCCTCCCCTTGCATCGCCACAATGCTTCCTGTCACACGATTAACCGAATTCCGGTTGAATAATCAATCCTTTTTTTTCGTTGTTTGAATGCCAATGGAGGTGAAGAGTTCATCTGGAGGAAATGGAACATTACCTTCACGGACATGAACGTTGACATGGTCGGCAGGAGTAGCAAGAGTCACGTATTTACCGGAAGTCCCACCGACAGCGTAAGAATAGTTAAAAAGGTCGAACCAATTTCCGGCAGGGAAATAAGCGTCGACGGTCTCGGCTCCTGGCTTCAACGCAGGTGATACCATGATGCTTTTCCCGACGAGGAACTGAGTATCGATCTCATAAGTGTTTGTGTCTTTGGGGAACGAAAAGAAGAGTGGTCTTGCGATAGGGACACCATTGGTATGAGCCTCGTACATCAGCGTGTACAAGTGAGGGAGCAACCTCGTACGGAGGCCGAGTACCTTTCTTGCGGCAGAAGCAACTGATTCCCAGATATAAAGCTCTTGCCTGGCCGTGCCCTTTGACGAATGATCTCTCGCGAAAGGGTAAAATGCCCCGAGCTGACATTTCGGAGCCGAAAAAAATTTAGCCCCATTTGTAGAAAACGGTCAGCAAACCAAGATACAAAAACCCATTCGGCTAAAACCGTTTTCCAAAATCTTTACCTGGATCCATCGGCGGCATAATTCTTCGGTGGTATCGCTAGAGAAGCCACAGATATCAGCTCCAACCATTGGAATTCCGAAAAGCCCGAAATTCAGAATTCCAGGAATAGAATAAGCTAGATCCTCCCACTTGGCGTCATTATCACCTGTCCAGTGAGCAGCGTACTTTCCTGAGCTGACGAAAGTCGATCTCGTCAAAATGAACGGCCTTTTGCCCGTTATATCAACCAGAGCCTTGTGAGTGGCCTTAGCCTCCAATAGGCCGTTCAAGTTATGAGCATTGTATTCACTAACATTCCCAAAGTGTACAGACATTGCAGGCACTGTCCTTTCGTTTATCTGTGCCTTGCCTCCGAGATTTTTAATCTTGTAGGGCGGATCGTCGAGGGAAGAGCCCGGAGTTGGAGGTGAAGTTATGAAATTGGACAACTCGTTCATGTCCAGCCATAGACCGTCCACAGGAAGAACATCTCGGAAAATTTTGATCTCGTTGCTCCAGAAGTTGGCTGTGTCTGGATTCAAGAAATCTGGGAAGTACACCTTTCCGGGCCAAACTTCGCCAAGGTAAGGCACACCATCTTGCTTTATGAACACATCGGCTTCCATCCCTCTGTTATATGTCCCGTAAGAGCTGTTCACACTAATACCTGCAGAGACAAGGCAAAACAACACATCTGAACACACTCTACCTGTCTTTAGGTCTCAAGGACCGAGTGATGTTTCATAGTTTGTGATACCGGGATCCAAGATGAGCACGTATTTTTGGCCATTGTCATGAAGCTTGTCCACGAAAGACTTCATCCTGTCTTCGGGGAAGTTCACAGGATCAAAAGTGAAGTCTTTGTATGCGTCCATGTAGTCAATGTCCGTCCACATGACTTCAAGCGGGATTCCGGCTTTGGCATACCCATCAACTACAGATTCGATGTCTGAAATGTTGCTGTAGCCATACCGACATTGATGAAATCCTTCACACGTAACGCAAGAGCAACCCATTAAACACTGCCCACGCATTTTATTTTTCATCAGACACCGAGCATGTAGATTCACAGACAACATTAAGAACCTCAGTTCAATCTCGTACTCAGAATCTTCCACAGAGAATTTTCTTTTTCCACATGTTCGGGTTCATACTACTCAAGAACTGTCCACATTATACATCAGAAGTTTACACGGATCTAGTACATGAACGATTTTGATGGAAATGGCATAAAAGTTTTGAGTTCTTATGCCCATCAACGGAAAATATATCTTCTTCACCGACCAATCCGCTAGGCAGAGAAACCCGAATGAGATTTAGACTAAGATCTGATCACAGTGCAAAAAATATTCAGATGAATGCATAAGAACGACGAGAAGATGCTTACCAAAAGACCAGTAAGGCATAGGAGCAGGCCTTCCGATGAACTCCGTGTACTGACGCATCACCATCTCCGGCGAAGGTCCGACGAACAGATAGAGATCGATAATGCCGCCGATCACCTTATAAGTAATCCGATTCCCCCCATAATACACATCCATGCCATTGCTGTTCAGTAACAGAACTCCGTGCGTCGTCCCCGCCTCTGCCTCCGCGTCGCCTCCGTCGGAAGAGGACGGACCTCTGACGTCGATGTAAAACGGGTGGGACCCGTAGAGGTTGACATCCGGATTTGCGCTGCCGACGTCGGCGTTCCACAGCGTCAACGTGTGGCCAGGAACAAGCCTGAAGGATTTCTTCGTGTGTTCTCCTAGTCCATACAGACTCGATCTGTTTTCCGGTAACGCGGAGTATAATTGAATGAATTGGTCCTTGAATACCAATTGAGTGTCGGGATCTGATTCCGCCGGCGACGTATCGAAGAGGATTTCGCCGGAGGAGCGTCGGGAGACGGAGAAGCCGAAGGGTGTGGTGTTACGGAGGGTGAAAACGAGGTCCGACGACGGATCTGACAGTAAAAGGTCTCCGGCTGAGCTCCGACCCTTCTGCGACGGAGCTTGACGGTTCTCCGACATGAAACGAAGAGGTGAGCGGTTTTCCGGCCGAGGTACGACGGTTTCGGGAATCTCCCATCTCTGTTGTTCGGAATCTGTGATTCTGATTCTCAAACGCTCGCTCGTCTCCAAGCTATAAACACAGAAGCAATCAAGCAACGCAATTAAAATGTAATTAGATACTAATGATCCTGGATTAACACTTAATTAAATGGAATTATGATATAACTCGTTTGTATTTATTTTATAACTAAGTTTAATTAAACTCGCTCATAGCGGAAATTTGTAGTAATAACAAAAAAATCACATTTTTATTTTTAAATAAAAAAATATTAGACGCCAGTTGGCGTTGAAACATTGGATTGGTTTAAAAAAACATGGCAGAATTTACAAATAAAAAAAAGTCCAGAAATCGAATTTTTAAGATTTGGTTAATCACCTGGCATAGAGGATAAGGCTAGGAACATCGGGTCCGTAAAAAGACGACGGCTTAATCAGACGGAGATCCGCCGTTAAAATCTTCCGGTCCGAATCGACGGCTACGGATTGGACGCTGTATCCGAATCCAACGGCTGATGTTTCTCCTCCTTCTGCGCTTCCATGGGAGGGCAAAACCAAGCTCGAGAAGAAAATTAAGACGATGACGAAGACCGAGAGTGAGAGACAGTGACGATGAGATGACATTTCCTTTTTCTGTTTCTCCACTCGTTTGGTGGGCAATTTTATAGTGTATTTATTTCGATATTTTATGTTATTAAATATATATGTAAATTATTTCGAAGGTTAAAACCATAAAAGTTTTTAAATTTGTAACATGAAAAAAATAAATTTCTAATTTTTTTCTTTAACAAATTTACTCTCAAATTATTATCATTTTCAAACATTTAAAATATTATTTAATTCTAGAAAAAATCTCGACGGTCCATAAATTAGTTTAAAAATTATAACTACATATTTTATAAATAAATTTGTGAATTATAATGATAATTTAAAAATATATTTATCGAATAAAAAATTTAGCAATTAATTTAGGAATGTTTATACTATTTAAAAAAATAATCCCATCCTATTGCGTCAATGAGCATAAATGGTCTTATTGAAAAAAGGCCCATAGCCCAATTTAAGGCATACACAATGGGCTACAAAGCCCAATTACGATATCAAAACGCTGCGTTTTAACCTACAGCCGAATCTGAAGGAGTGATGATAACTGATAAAAACACGAAGACATCAAAGTAACATCATATATATATATATATAGTTCCACTTGAATATTTCTATAGCATGTACTTATGATAAAAGCGTAGATAAAGCTTTCTACTTTTTTTCATTAAAACTATACGAAATTTTACAATAAGGTCCAAATTCAGCTTTTTAGGAATTTTCTTTATCTGTTTCTTTATATATATATATATATATATATATAAAGAGAACGTGACAAAGATTCAAACTCGCTACTTTTGCTTCACACACACCAGTTGTCTCTTCTCCTTTTTTATTCTGTATATGCTTTTGAAAAAAAAAATCCACCGTAACATTTTATAATTTTTTATATTTATTAATTTAAAATTTTAAAAATCCAATTCTGGTATATTCAAATTCTGTCTATTAGTGGTCCAATATTTTAAAAGATAGTACGTCAGTGTATCCACGTACGTATAGCATGCTAAAAATGCATACGTATGCATATCTGTGTAGTGTACGTACGTACGAACGTACGTAGGAGATGTGAAGATGTCTTGTCTTTGTTTACAAGTTTGCGAGCATTAAATGGAGAAATCTGCCCCTTATTGGACAGTCAAAGCTTGACCCGGTTTCGTTCGGTTTGGTTTAATTAAACCGTTTGGTTTTCCGCTCAGACCGGTTCGATTGGACCCACTGGTCTTTTCAATGGGCTTGGGGGGTGTGAGCTCAAACTAGGCCCGTAATGGGCCCAACAAACTATTTGTCCAGCTGGCATAATAATTGGGTTTAATTAGCCATGTAGATGAAGAAAGCGTCGGTTGGCACGTGCGGTGGTCACGGTTGGCACGTGCGATCCCCATTTCCCCTTCCTCTTTTTTGCTACTCTCACTCTATTTTCTCTCTCTCACACACTCTCTATCATATCATAATTCAACACGCACAAAAAAAAAGTCGAATTCCTTTTTTTTTTTTTTGTTCTGTAATCATACTTGCTTTACAGCTCACTAGCCGTCTTCTTCCTCTGTCCTATTCTTCTTCTTCTTCGTCTTCCGCCTCCTCCTCGCGGATCCATTAAGAGGTTCTCTTTTCAACTTTTTGATTCTGTTTTCTTTCGTATTTTTTGCGAATGTTGTTGGTTTTTTTTCCTCTGGCCGTTGTTTTGGAATTGGGGTTTTTGTTTGATTGTCCGTTGAATCGTCTAACGGGGTCTGTTCCCATTTTTGGAGTTTTTGAATCTTCAGTCATTCTTGTGCTGGGACTGTAATGGTGCCTCTGAATTCCGTAATTTCTGCTGGATTCGAGCTGCCTGAGTTCGGGGTCAATCGCGAAATCCGGGGTTTAGGAAGGGAATTTCACTTTCGCTTTCTGATTTTGGGAATTGGGAAGTAGGTCTGATCCGTCTGAGACTATCTCAATATTCTGGAAACTGGAAATTTAGATGAGAGCATGCAAAGGTTGTGCATTGATTGATGAAGAGCTTGGTGTATAGTTGATTAGTAGTACTAGTATTAGTAGTTTGATTTCGGTTAATGTACGAACTATAACTGTGGATATGGAGTTTGATTTTGCGTATTTCATGTTATATAAAATGTTATCGAGCTCATCGTCACTGCCGTGCGTGAATCTGTTTTGAGATTTAACAATGCATTGCCCTCGTCTCTAGGGTTATATGGCTGCTTATTTGTAGGTTACGTGGATGATTTGGGCAAAGTCTTGTTCTGGGCAGACTATGGCTAGATGGGTCTTGTTATGTGAGACCATAGGGGATGTGGATGGATTTAAGTCTTGCAAATCCTACGAATTCATATTTCCGAGTAGTTCTGTCTCAGTAGAGTTTTCTTTGCTCATTGTGATCTTGATGTGTTTATGAATGTCCATGATGGTAACATGTCTTTGCAAATTACTTTGCCAAAACAGAGTTTGCGTGCTATCCATCTCAGCTGAGGTTATGCTCTTGTTTTGCTAAATAATCCTCCCGGAGATTCTGACAACATCGTCTTGTTTGTTTTCAGGAGCCTCTATTTTTTTTTTATCTATCTTGAACATAGATGTGGTGTCATCAAGCAGATGATTAGATGCTTCCAGAAGAGCATCCTGGAGTGCGTTCTTTCAGATGATTTGTAGTGGATTTATTACACCCGAACAGTGCCATCATGGGCATCTGTCTGATGAAATGCTGTTCTTCATGGCTTCTTTTGATCTCATTGCTTTGTGCCCTAACAAATGAAAACCGTGCGATCAGTCCTGATGGTACAACAATATATTTTCCTTGTTTGTATATGATTGTGTATCAATATGCATGATCACCATTGGTTTCATCCATTTCTTTTTTGCTTTTGTCATTCTCCAGGTGAGGTGCTTCTGAGCTTCAGAAATGCAATTACTAGTTCTGATGGTGTCATTCGTCAGTGGAGACCAGAGGATCCTGATCCATGTAGATGGAAGGGGGTGACATGTGATGTGAAAACCAAAAGAGTTACAGCTTTGTAAGTCGTGAACTCGTTTTTCGTTAACTTTTACATTCATTCCGGTGTCTAACCTTTTGGCCGTTTTGCGAGTGCAGGAGTCTTACATATCACAAACTAAGTGGACCTTTATCTCCTGATCTCGGAAAACTTGACCAGTTGAAGCTTTTGTATGTGTTTTCTTACTATGATTTGTTCTAATAATTGCTTAGAGTATGCATGCTGCTACCCTGCTGATCATATTTGTATTTGTGCGGCATTGCAGAATGCTTCACAACAATAATTTGTATGGGTCAATACCTACAGAATTGGGAAATTGCACATCGTTGCAGGGAATGTAAGCCCATTTCCCTTACACATCATAATTTAACATCATTATTGGACAATCTTCGTTTTTTGTGTTGATTTTCTGCATTTGCTCGATCTTTTTGTCGTTGTCTGATTGTTATGGCCAACGATAAAACCAAAGGATTTTGTCAAACTCATCAACATTTTCAATTTGATCTATGCAGATTCCTGCAGGGCAATTACTTGAGTGGATCGATCCCAAGTGAACTGGGAAAACTGTCTGAGCTTCAACATCTGTATGTTGCTCCACTCCATGTTCTTTAGCTGAGATTGTTTTACGCATGATTATGGTTGATGTTCCCCATTTCTCTTTCCAGGGACGTCTCGAGCAACTCTCTTGGCGGAGCTATCCCTGCTTCGCTTGGGCATTTAGAAAAGCTTACAGATTTGTGAGTGGCTTTTAATCTCTAGCAGGCGATTTGATCTTTTAAATTCAAGTGTTACTGATTATGCCGATCTTTCGTTGTCAGTGTTACTGATAATGCCGATCTTTGTTCCTTTGAAGCAATGTATCGAACAATTTTCTGGTGGGGCAGATACCATCGGATGGAATATTCTCCAAATTTTCAAAGGACTCGTAAGTACAATTTACCGTAACCCTTTTTCTCCTTGCAGAGTTTGAAACAGAGGAGCAAAAGAAAACCTCTTAGACAGGATCTCACAAATGTTCTGTTATACTTGCGGATAGATTGCTAGGAACATTTGATGTGCACCATTTTGCAAACTTGTACCGGTTTAGCTGAGACTGAAAGTAAAGATAAAATAAGAATTCCACTTAGATTTCTGAATTGGTGTATTGCTCTGCAGCTTCATTGGGAATCTAAAATTGTGCGGAAAGCAAATAGATGTTGAGTGCAAAGATGACAGTGGAAACCCTTCTAGAGATTCCCAGTCTACAACAGGTAAAGGAATAAATTGGTCTCGATCAATTCTGCTCATCTTTGTATACTATACTGGCTATTCTTTAGTTAGCGGTATATCTATGAAATTTGAGTGTTAAATGTTATGGCATGTATATGGTATCATGTCGTGAAACCGGCGAAAATTATTAGTTCTCCCTGACATTGTGTAGGTCAAAATCAAGGAGGAAAGAAGAACTCAGGCAGGCTGCTCATTAGTGCCTCAGCAACTGTCGGTGCACTGCTCTTAGTGGCACTCATGTGTTTCTGGGGATGCTTTCTTTATAAAAAGCTCGGTAAAGTCGAGAGCAAAAGCCTTGCCATGGATGTTGGTGGAGGTGAGCCATGCCGATTTTTTTGAATGGATATCATCCATATAATCTTGAAAGTTTTCATTTGTATAACGTATCTCCCAAAATTTCACAAAAAAATGGCTGACAAGTTCGTCAATTCAGGTGCGTCTATCGTGATGTTCCATGGAGACTTGCCCTACTCTTCCAAGGACATCATTAAGAAACTGGAAATGCTGAATGAAGAGCACATAATCGGCATTGGAGGCTTTGGAACGGTGTACAAGCTCGCAATGGATGATGGCAGTGTATTTGCCTTGAAACGGATAGTAAAGCTGAATGAAGGGTTCGATCGGTTCTTCGAGAGGGAGCTCGAAATTCTCGGGAGCATCAAGCATCGTTACCTCGTGAATCTACGTGGATATTGCAATTCCCCCACATCAAAGCTGCTACTATATGATTATCTTCCTGGCGGTACCCTTGATGAAGCTCTTCACGGTAAAATCCTTCTTCCCTTTTCCGGGGTTTTCCATATTATTACACCCGAGAACGATATGAATAACACAATTTGATTCTGTTAGAGCGAGGCGAGCAACTACTGGACTGGGATTCACGTGTAAATATCATCGTAGGAGCGGCAAAAGGGTTATCATACTTGCATCATGATTGTTCTCCGAGGATTATACATCGTGATATAAAGTCGAGCAACATTCTGCTCGACGGAAATCTCGAGGCTCGGGTATCTGACTTTGGACTTGCCAAGTTGTTAGAAGATGAAGAATCTCATATTACAACCATTGTAGCCGGCACATTCGGATACTTGGCTCCAGGTACTCACTTCAATTCGATCATTACACCTTAAACATCGGATCATGTCCTAATTCATTTGGTCCAATTGCTGCAGAGTATATGCAAAGCGGCAGAGCCACAGAGAAGAGTGATGTTTACAGTTTCGGGGTTCTGGTTCTGGAAGTATTGAGTGGAAAACGACCCACCGATGCCTCCTTCATCGAGAAAGGCCTTAACATTGTCGGATGGGTATTGCAAAGTTTCCAATTTTACGATCCCTCCCAAATTCAATCCAAATAATCTAAATTGGCTGACCTTTATTCCACTTGATTTTGATCTTTGCAGCTAAATTTCCTAATAAGCGAAAACCGGCAAAGGGAGATCGTTGATGGGAACTGTGAAGGGGTGCAGATGGAGAGTCTGGACGCTCTTATATCGATCGCCACCCAATGCGTATCGTCCAGTCCGGAAGATCGTCCCACGATGCATCGGGTCGTCCAGTTACTCGAATCCGAGGTCATGACCCCTTGCCCCAGCGATTTCTACGATTCCAGCTCCGATTAATCACTTGATTTTGCCCTTCCGGATTCAATTTTTCTCCCCAGAAACCTATGGTTTCTGCAGTGATGGTGATGAATGATGGACTCAAAGGGCATTAACCATTTCCTGTGAGGGAACGGAACGGAACGGAACGCAGTCATCGGATGCCATTTTCTTTCCCAATTTTACAATGTTCAAGCCCATTCATTTCTTGCCTCCTTTTTTATTTGTTTTTTAAATGTTTCTGAAATTGGCAAAACCCTTCATTTTGAATTTGAAATTAAATGTATATGATTTGGTTAATAACCGGATAAATATATAATCGGAACTCAACCTAATTTGATATAACAGTTGAATGGTTATGATTATTTTAAAAATAGTAAAAGCTGAACTAAATTGAATCGAATGACTTTTTAAATGGTACAATGAATCGAAATTGATATTAAACCGATTAACTATAATTTTTTAAAAGCTAAATACATAATTTAGATATAGGAGTTGAATGGTAATGACTTTTATTTTGGGTTTTTGGCTTTACTTTTTTGTTTTTAGTTTTTAGTTTTTGGTTTTTGGCTTTTGTATTTTATAAGTTTGTAAATCTAAAAAAATTATAACTTTTGGTTTTTAGTTGATTTTTCCAATAAAATAGATTTTTAGATTTTTAGGAAAACCAAAATTTAAAAAATTTGATTGTTGATTTTTTCAATTTTTAAAATCCAAAAACTTCGAAAACCAACGCCCATTCAACACCATCAAGTAAGGGTAAATAAAGAGAGAACTTATTTCTCCATATATAGAATATGGTGCGAACAATTTATCATATATATATAGAGGACTCACTTGACATCCACGTGGCGCATAATTTAAGAAGACAGCACACGCAACGCAAACTGCTCTCAGATGTGTTGGAGTTCCATGGCGCCATATGGGAATAGCTTATTCTCTCCAGAAACCGGTCGTTCAAATTCCATCGTCCCACCTGCCAGTCTTCTTAAAAAAAAAACTGCTCTTTTTCTTCCCTTCTTTTGCATTGTGATTTGGTGTAAATTAACAAATTCTTTGTCCGGAGATTCTTTCTCTGGATTTTGCTTCGGAAGATTCGTCCTTTCTCATCTGGGTCCTGATTCTGGAAGATTCCTCGACGTTCTTCGTTTCGAGGTGTAAGTTTCCTATTGTCTTCTCTCCGTGAATTTGATGCTTTCTTGGTATTGGAATTGAGATTTGCTTTGCGGGGTTTGTCCCAATTCGTTCTGATTTCATTTCCCATTTTGCTTTGCTGAGAACGCAACCCGTTTGTTGATATGCCAAAACGAAGTGTTAACCTGGATTTGATTTGAAAATTACCTTCTCTTGTGTTCTGAATTTCATGTGTAAATTCTACACATTTATTGCCAACTGATGTCCATTTCTGCTGGTTTCGACCATGGAACAAGCTGGGCTCAACTAGTTTCCTGTTTCTGACTTGCTGTCGTTGTACTTACGTTGACAATTACTGGTTGCCTTTTTTTCTTTTTCCTTTTTCTTTTTAATTTGAAGCTGTTTTCAGATGGCGGATACAAAGGTTCAGGCGGGGGTAATAGGAGTTCCGGTGGTAGACGAAACCTCTCCCGATTTGCTGAAGAACACGCCCTCAAACATTGCAAGATTGGAGGATGTGATCGAGCAATGCGAAGGGAGGCAAAAGTATCTTGCTCAGACGAGAAGTCCTTCAGATGGAAGTGATGTTCGGTGGTACTTTTGTCAGATCCCGTTGGCTGAAAATGGTGAGTTTTATGCTGGCTTCTGCTTCTATGCATATGTAACTCGAGGAAAAGAAAGGGAACATAACTCCATAATTGGGTAAAATATCAAAATTTTATCTACACTGTTGTGTGTAAAACGGGAAGAAGTGTTCTGTATTCAATGGTCGAGTGAAGAGGTCCGGTAGATAAGGGTCTGCTCGTGCTTAGTGTTGCTGTCATTGTGATATTCTTACAATTTACATCCAAGTTGATAGTTATTGTTCTGTTTCTTATCATGACTGAAGGAAGGAGGCTAATGTTGGGAATGTCGTGGTTATGATTAAAGATACTCCTATTTCGTATTTCTGCAGAATTAGCTGCTTCAGTACCTCGCTCCGAGGTAGTGGGAAAAAGTGAGTTTTTCCGGTTTGGTATGAGGGATTCTCTGGCAACAGAGGCATCTTTCTTGCAGGTTCTTCTCCCAAGCTTTCGTGGTTTCGTGTTGAATAGAAAGACAAGCTAGTACAAATACTTGACAAATTACACTATGTGTATTTTCCTAACAAATTGGAAGATTGGTCACTTGGTTCTAGATTGATTGGACAGTGTATATCTAATTCTTTCTCTCTCTTTTTTTTGTGCTTAATAGAGGGAGGAAGAATTGCTCTCACTGTGGTGGAAAGAGTATGCTGAATGCAGTGAAGGCCCAAGAATACAAGTTGATTCCAAACAGATAATAAATAAGCAATCAACAGCATCTACTTCCAAAGCTTCTGCTTCAACTGGCCTATATGAAGTTGAAGAGGAGAGAGTCGGTGTTCCGGTGAAGGGTGGACTATATGAGGTAACACTGTTCTCTGCAGGAATCGAAAGAATGCTCATAATTTTCCTCGTAAACTAACCTGTTGATTCATCTAACTTATTTTAGTTAGATTTGCCTACTGTTTCTAATTTCAGCCGGAAAAATTTTCTACATCTTTTACCTATCATTCTATCTGAAACTTAGAAATTTAAAAATGGGCCAATGCTGCAGGTTGATTTGGTGAAAAGACATTGTTTTCCTGTTTACTGGAATGGAGAAAATCGGCGTGTGCTTAGAGGCCACTGGTTTGCTCGTAAAGGAGGCCTTGATTGGCTTCCGATCAGAGAAGATGTTGCTGAACAGTTGGAAGTTGCATATCACAACAAGGTTACCTTTCATTCTTTCATTTATGCTTTGCTTTATGGGATTTTGGTTGTAAGTAGACTTTAAGTGAGAAGGAACTTGGAAGATGCAAGTTTCATAGCTTTAGAAATTGCATACAAATGCCGAGACTCTTCCTTCTATCCTCTCTCCATATTTTCTCTGTTTAATGCATGAGAGCTTTGTCCACTTATATTTTCTCGAGGATATGACAAGTTGATAATAATGAGTTGGGATTTCTCCCTCAGGTTTGGCGGAGAAGAACATTTCAACCCTCTGGACTTTTTGCTGCTCGTGTTGATTTGCGGGGATCCAGCCTGGTATGTGTTTCATTTCATTGGTAAGAAAATATAATTTATTAGTTCTTATCAGCTGACTTATGTGCATATTATTTATCCAAAGTTGTAAAATGTAGGGATTCCATGCCTTCTTTACCGGGGAAGATGATACTTGGGAGGCATGGCTTAATGTTGATCCATCTGGTTTCTCTGGTATTGTTGGCTACACTGGGAATGGAATTAAGTTAAGACGTGGTTACTCTGGCTCACACTCTCCAAAACCTACTCAGGTTTTATAATTAAGCTTTTTTTCTGTGATATGATATCTGGAATTTTCTTTATTTCACAAGGAAACTCTCCATTTTCTGTTAAGAATCAGCTCTCTACATCATAATGAATCTTAAATCTTGTGCATTCATTCAGGAAGAACTACGCCAACAAAAGGAGGAGGAGATGGATGACTATTGTTCTCAAGTTTGTATTCCTTTACTCCTCTTGATAGTTTGCAAAATGCCCAAAAAGTGTTCTTCTTTTGAAAACTTCCAAGATACTTTCAGAATATTTCTCGAGTTCGATACAAAATCTCTACGACATTGTCCAGGTTCCTGTCCGTCATCTTGTTTTCATGGTTCATGGGATCGGGCAGAGATTAGAAAAGTCTAATCTGGTCGATGATGTTGGAAACTTCCGCCAAATCACAGCAAGTTTGGCTGAACATCATCTCACGTCTTATCAACTTGGAACTCAAAGAGTCCTTTTTATCCCGTGCCAGGTCTATCTCTTTTCATTTCCATTGCTCACACCATCTTGTGTCACATCTGATATATACTCGGTTTATTTCAATTTTTCAAAGCATTTTGAACAAGATATATATCTTTTTTTTTCTCTCTATCTCTATATATATCTTTTCAGTGGAGAAAGGGTCTAAAGCTAAGTGGTGAAGCTGCAGTCGACAAATGTACTTTAGATGGTGTACGACGTTTGCGGGTCTTGCTCAGTGCTACAGTTCATGACGTGTTATACTACATGAGCCCCATCTATTGTCAAGCTATAATTGATTCGGTATAGCAGTTTCTATAACTTCATGCATCCCTTTTTACTTTATCTGCTCTGCTCACCTTCGTGATAGTGTTGAGCAAAACAGTTCCTTTTTTTTTATTGGATCTACATGGAGTCGGGTTTTAAATAGATACATTATATGACATTGTTACTTCCCTGTTGCATACCAGTGTTGGCCTTTGTGACTAGTTTCAGCAAATTTTAAAACTGATGTTTACAAGGGAATGAGGTCTCGGTGTAATTTTTCCAGCTTTCTTGACATTGGAAGATATTATCTTTCTTAAACCCATTCCCATATTATTGGTTTTTTTTGGTTGCATAATATTGGTAGATATTCTCTATGGATTGATTTAGTTGTCACTGTCAGGTTTCGACCCAACTAAATCGACTGTACCTGAAGTTCCTAAAGCGAAATCCTGGCTATGATGGAAAGGTTCGTAGCTTGTTTAATTTGTTCCTTTGCCAAGCCGTGAAGGTATGTTCTTGGATATGCTTACAGGTATCCATATATGGCCACTCTTTGGGCAGTGTTCTCTCGTATGACATCCTATGTCATCAGGAGAATTCATCGAGCCCATTTTCGATGAATTCTATTTACAAGAAGTTTTTTCTCGATGAAGAAACTTCCCCAATGAGAAGTACCCGACAGTTTAATAATATCCATTCGTCAACAAATTTGGACAACGAGAACTTTAATCAAATGAATCCTGAGGAGATTTCAGGTCGAGATCATAATACCATGGTGGCTAAAGGATCAACTCTATTGGAGCACAATGATATTGTCTGTGAAGCTTCTTCTTTGAGTGGCAGTAGGGTTGTAGACAATGTGGATTTGGAACCGAAAATTGATAAGGATGTTGAACACGAGGAAATCTACAATTCTGGTGATGGAGTTTCTCTACATGATGGTCCTGACAGAACTGATAACGGAACACATGTTCTGTCCTGTATTCCAGAACAAATGACTGATGAGCAATGTGATGACGCTAATAAAGAAGAAACAATTAAGAAGTTGAGAGAAGAGGTAAATTTAGGAACTTCTATATGATGAGATTCTTTAAGTTCCTTGTCTTTTACTTTTATGGCACCATTTCTATAACTGGATACTTTTTTTTGGGTTTCGTTCCCTACAGCAGTGCCACTCGATGTCTTTATTTACTGAATACACAGAAATATATTATATCTGTATTGGTTTTGTGAATTCTGTTCAATGACAAGCTCTGTTATTTCAGGTTAACTCGTTAAGGGAAAAACTCGCGGAACTGAGATCACAAAGTGACAGCACACACACTCGTGGTATTGTTTTTAACCCGATATATTTTTTAGTGGTTTTTCCTCTTTGGATTTCTTTCAGGATGAGATTCCACTTCACGTGAATTCTTAGTAATAATATGCCATATCACCAGAAAATGCCGTAACATCTATGGTGCCAGATGAGAGGACACAAACGGAAGATGTCAAAACACCTCAAAGTTATACTCCTTATATCAAATACACAAAGCTTGCATTCAAGGTGTGCAAAAGATAAAATTATCTGCATCTAGTTGACTGTTATGCTCATACTTTGCCTAACCTTCATACTTAATATATATATATGCTCAGGTCGACACTTTCTTTGCAGTTGGATCACCTCTTGGTGTCTTTCTTGCCCTCCGAAATTTTCGTATTGGGATAGGTAATACCCATATGTGGAATTTGTAATTTTTCCGTTTTGTCCCTCTGTAGGGTTTATAACCCATTTTATACCTGAAAGCTGTTATTTTCACATCTTAGGTAAGGGAAATGATTATTGGGGAGAGGAGAGTATTACAGAAGAAATCCCAGCTTGTCATCAAATGCTCAACATTTTTCACCCTTATGATCCTGTAGCATATAGGTGAGTTCTCATGAAAATAAGTAATGTCTAATCTTTTTTATCTTGCTCTCTGTTTGTATTGCATTCCTGTATTTCTATGGACTTTCTTAAGAGTGAAATCCAAATTCACACTTTTGGTTTACACGTAGAGTGGAACCACTCGTATGCAAAGAGTACCTTTGAAAGCGACCAGTTATTATACCTTACCACAGAGGTGGGAAGAGGTTGCATATCGGATTTCAGGTACGAGATCGTATGTCTTCTTTATAAAAGTAGGAAAAGTTGTAATGTTAACATAAGCCTTTCATTTATCATGCATAACGTGCTATAGGAGTTCCGAGAGGATTTGGCTGCTCGTTCGCAAGCAATGATGAATCACTTTGATTCAATAAGGGTGTGTTCCTGCTCTTTAAATATCAATCCTGATTATACTTTTCCCTACGCATGCACAAGTAACTTTTTTGTTAAATTTCTTTACTTATGTGTAGACAAGAGTTCTGACAATCTGCCAATCGAAAAGTGTGGATAAGTTGGAAGGTTATAGTCATTTACTCTTGAAATCTTTTTTAAACTTCTTCCTTTGATGGATCCTAACCATCATTTAGACATGGTATAGATCTGATAGCTTATTGATTTCCTTTGGTGTAACGGGGCAGAGGCAGCAGATACCGACGAAGAACAAGAGGAAAGGTCGTATGGTTCTTTGATGATGGAGAGGCTAACTGGAAGTCGAGATGGTCGGATAGATCACATGCTCCAGGTGGGTAATCTTGTTCTTTCACATGAAAAATCCTAATGTCAGCCTCTAGATCTTGTATCTATTTTTTTTTTTTCTTTTTTTGGGTTTGTATGTGATTGTTTTCTTGATTCTGTCTCACTCATCTATGGGATTTGTTGAAACCTGCTTTGTGATTTTGGTAATGCAGGATAAAACCTTTGAGCATCCCTATCTGCAAGCCATAGGATCACACACGTGAGTGGATCTTTTCATAACACTTGACGCTCTTTACATTCATGTCCTTGTGTCAAAGAACTCAAGAACTGTTATATATATTGATAAGTTGATTGATGTACGCATATGTGCAGAAACTATTGGAGAGATTATGACACTGCCCTTTTCATAATGAAGTACTTATACCGCGAATTACCAGAAGAAGAGCCAAACTCGCCTTCAGAAGCCAGTGGAGAAAGCCCGAAAGATTTGAGCAGAGATCATGGTTGGATGCTGCAGGGAAGAAGAGAAACCAATGAAGAAGACCTTCCTTTAACGTTCTCTGACAGCCAAATGGTCAGAAGCTTCTCAGATAAAGCCAGGAAATACTCGAACAAGGCTTAAAATCTTTGATATGGCTGCAATGGGTATTACTTCAAAGCTGCTAAAGCTTTTGATGAAGAAGATGAAGGGAACATAATCAGGAAGGGGAGCTTTTGTCATTGCATGAATTGTAAATGTAAGCATTTCTGTTTATTTACTGTACAGAAGATGTCATTTGAAATGCTGAAACCCTAAATGGTTGTGATATATAATGTAGTTTCAGCATCAACAGTTGCAAAAGAAACTGAGCAGAAGATATCTAAAACATGGTTTTGAGTAAACAAATTCACCAATCTGCACCTAAGAGCTAGAAATGCGAGTCGTTTTGGTTAGCCCAAAGGTCGAGCCAGAGAACTGCGTGCCGTTCTTACTTTTCGGCATTTTGTATTCGTGGGCCTGGGCTATGTGTGTGAGCCAAAAAATTATTCATGATTTACGCCTACGCGCAGGGGAGGCGCGTGAACGTCACCTCCCCGAAATCCCCAGACGTGGGCGCATATCCATCCACCTTTTTAACCATGTATAATTTATCTAGGAAAACTGCGTGCCGTTATTACGTCACGGGCCAGATTTCAAGAGTAATATCTCTTCCAACCCAATCAGCGCTTTTTTTAAAAATTCATCTTGTTTGGTATATTTCGGCGAATTTCTCAAATATAAACAATAACCATTAAATTGTTTATTTAATATTAAACACCGAAAATACATTATTTAAATGTTTTTTTTTCAATCTTCTGATATTTCAATCGTATTTATTAATAACCACCACTGAAATTTTTTTCCCAGCCGTATTAATACTATCTCCCTGATTTCCAGTATCCAATCGTATTTATACCCTAAATGATGCTTTTTCTTTACGTTCTTAAATGTCTTTCTCCATTTTGTAATTTCCTCAGTATTATTCAACCTAGTAATACCTTGCTCTCCAAGTAATCAATTTGATAAGGAGAGGCAAACTTTCAGGAGAGGCCCAATAAGGATTAAACACCAATCTATGAACAAAATTGCCTTGTGACACAAGGCAAACCCATAACCTGCTTTATATAATATATAACATACATCTCTCGGAATCGGCACGTTCCTGCATTAACGTACTCTATTCGCAGGATTCCATTCTGATAGCCTCTGGATCAAGTAGAGGCTTTCATGTCCCATCAGCTTTGCTCGTACCATCAGCTTTGTTCATGTCAACGAGGAGGGAATGCCTCACACGGGACGAAATCAGGGGCCTTTCAGGGGTTTTGCAGAGGTTGTCAGTCCCGGGAAAGCAACTCGGCGGGGCCGGAGAGTTAGGGTTGCTGAGAGCATCTTCTTGCAAGATCTCGCCCATCCTAGATAGTATCCTGAATGCCAAATTCACTAGTATCCGGGAATATGCCTCCAGAATCGCATGCCCTATATCCTGAAAACAAAAAAGAATGATCTTTTATGAAACCCTGTTTGAAGAAGATGCAAATCTCTAGGTTTGTACTGGCTTGTTCCAGGAGTGGTAACTATGAAGAGAGAGTCCCATGTGGGAAGATGCAAAACCCACCTTTCCATACTGAATCTTAGTGGCATCAAGAAATGACTGAGGCAGATTTGGGAATTTGGCTTTAATCTGTTCTCTAAGCTCCCCTGCCCGGTTCAGGAGTGACTCAATGCGTCCGGTTTCAGACAATGGGTCCTTCATGAATGACCAAGATGTTCGGACAGGGGATCTCCCGGTGCTGGTTTGTTCTGCAATCCTCTCTTTCCATGCAAATATAGCTGCTTCTAACCTATTAGCAGTCTCAAGCGCAGTATTCTCGGTTCCCATCTTCAGAGAACTAAGGATTTCATCGATCGAGGTCGAATCTGCGGCCAACATTCTGTACAGTTCATCACCAAGACTTGCCTTTCCAGACTGCAAAAAGCATGGAAGTAAAACTCTGTTTAAAACTCTATTTCCACAAATAGATGTTGGGAGTATACACATAGGAGAGATGGAAGCAAGTTTTACCTTTGGTATTGCATCCCTGATAATGGTGGGCACTGGCATTTCAAGGAGAACGTTTTCGTTTATAGATTTTGCAGCTTTGAAGACTTGATAAACAACCTTGCCCTTGTCAAGCAATTCCTTCCTTCCCGAATCAGAGAGACCAGGCCTCGGTACCTGTGGCAATGGAAGCCACCATCTCTTGCTCTCCCTTGTACTCTTGTTCTTCCCCTCTGCTCTGCGTCCTACTTCATCATACCAAAACTCTGTATTTACCATTGAGTCCAGTGTCCCCTGCGAATTTTGCATCACCAATTAAATTGGATCTGGAAAAAGAATACTGGAAAAGACTCGAATTTGTTATGATGAAGTAATCCATAACCTACAATTAGCATGGAGTCCAATTTCTGCAGAGCTGGGAGATTCATATGAATGTCCGCACGGGCTTTCGGGGTCATTATCTGCTCTAACAGGAAACAAATTCAGTTTCTTCTTCTAAAAAGTATATGGTTAGCTCATGATCTAAATGGCTGGATTAATCGAACCTCGAGTGATCTTCCATTGGCACCATTTTGCTTCGAAGGGACTAGCTCGATCATATAGTTAGTTGGAGAGAGTAACCAATCCATTTCTCTTTGCCATTTGTCCTTCTTTTCCTCGGACAAGGGTTCCAACTTCCAGAGCTCACCAAAAACTGAGGCTGCAAATCCAAGAGATTCAGTAGGCATCCAATAAATAACAGTGACTGCTGAGAAGCAACCTCTGAGTATATGAAAAGAATGCAAAAGCTTGTAGTTTTCATGAGACTTGGACATACTTGCAAGATTTGTTATAGCGTTTGACAAAGCCAGAGCAGTCTGGACACCCTTGCGTCCCCCGGTGGAATCTTCACCAAGCAATAGCTTTGAAAATTTCTCTTTCATGGCTTCCACGTCAGAATGATGGAGAGGGTAAGCAGGTTTCTCCTTAGCATAGAAATGTTGAGGACTATCAGGGAAATCCCAATAATCTGAACCATGTTCTTCACGCTTTCCTGGCAAACATTTTGATGAAAAGGACCCGAAGGCATCTTTGCTAGATGAACAGCTTGAAAATGCATCATCATCCAACGAGTCAGTGAGGCAACCATCTCCTCGACTTGTTCTACTTTCATCCTCATAAGATTGATTGTTGATAATGCAAGTTTCCAGGCCATTATATGTCATCATCCCTGCAAAGAGAGGCAATTCATGTCACTTAAAAAGGCTTTCCTTATTGTGACACTTGGTGCTATGAATCAGACTTTTTTTGGTCAACGCTTATCATAAACTTCTCCCAACCATTTCGCATAGCCAAACAGTCACTAGCTCTATATTCACAAAATTTTACCAAACAGTTCCAAACTTATTACCCAAGATGATAAACATGTGATTCATGCTGAAGGCAGCAAAAGAGATTTCTACAGGTGGAGATTAACTGCATTACATATTTCACCAGGAAAGTAATGTCTGAAATCTTCAACGTGTTATTCACTTTATCTGAATGAATTGTAATGGCATCATTGTTAGGAGGTAACAAAGGGCCATAAACCCCTACTGAACAATAAACTGGCAATATAGCATAGCAACATTCTATATTTTACTAATCCTCATATCATGCAGGAATTGACATTCAGATAATGATAGATAACTTGTCAACATTGTCGGGAAATTGTTGAAATCTAAGGTGTAAGCACATGCCTAGTAAGTATCACGGATCAAACAGATGAACATAGATCCAGATTCTCAATATTTATGATTTTCATCACAGAAAAGTCTTCAACTCTTTCACGTGTCAAAACAAATAAAGAATTATTGACAAGCACCAACCCCATACTTATTGACAAGCTCCTTCTCTATAATTGCGGAAATGGACAAGTTTAAGGAAACGAAATAGCTTTCCCCCAAAGATAAATTAGTATCTTATAGATCTTTTTCTTGTAAACCTTTATAAGATCAAGGAAAACATTTTAGATTATCTAGGTCAGGATACAAAACAACTCAAGTACATACTCAGCAAGAATCAGCTTGTTCTATAGCAAATCAACAGTAGATGTTGATATCAATTATATAACAAGCAAAGAACAAATCTTCGACCCTTTTATAAAGCACAAAAAACTATTAAATCTAAAAGAGTTCTATAACCCATTTTTAATTTTCTACGAAATCGTTTTCTTAGACCCAATTTAGTGGCCAGGATATGCAAAAAAATTAGTTTTCCCTGATGAGAGAACACTAAAAGAATACTCCTTATGACCATTTATGATATCAAAGAATACCCCTTATGACCATTTATGTTAGGATTATGGATTTGATATGATGCAACTTACATGGTTGTGATTTTACAAGAGACTTTTGTGAGATATCGGAAGAATGAAAGAAAACCAGAGGTGGACCAGACAGAACCATTAGTAGAAACAGATCCAAACGGAAAAATGATGAAAACATGCATACCAAGGAGGACCATTCAGACAGTGACCATATGATTCCCTTGTCTCATTCTCACCAAGTGGGAGTTACTAACAATTCTAGAAGCACGGTTTTATGTGTATAGCTTGCTATCAGGAAAACAAATGACAGGCAAAGTCGCCGTGTTCCACGATCCTTGATCAAATAAAGTCAAGATTTTGCTAACCCGAGATTCAGCTAACATGCTTCTGTTTTCGAACGTTTCAACAGAAAAAATGTTTTTTTTAAGAACTCAAACAATGAGACAGTCCCCATGTGGTAGAGATTCTTGATGGACCCACTACAGGGACTTATCAGTTGTCAGGACATACAATTTTCTAAACCTTTCTCAGCAAATGCCATATAGTTTATTGATCAAATACGAATTATTTCCTCTATTCAAAGGCTGAAGATAAATGTGATGCAAAAATCACGGGAACTGGATCCGAGTTTTGTACCTATCAGCTAAAGGATGATTATCCCGTCTTCTTTCTCGTGAAGGCATAAACTTTCGTATATACAAAACACAGGAGCCCCTTAGAGCCCACCACCAAAAAAAAGGACAGCTTTCAGTAGAATATTGAATCTCCAAAGCTATCACGACAAATGCATAGCATCTTATTGAATAGAGGCACTAAGGTCGCGTGGAACGTCTCAGACTGTAGACTCTATTTATTACGAAATGATGGGGTTGGTGTGTATCTTTAAAGGGTCTAAATAGGTGCATTCAATATTTGACCCGTTTCAAATGGAAAACCTAACCCAAAAAAACTGAACCAGACACGACATAAAGACTCTATTGCTTGTCTGAGGCCTTTTTAAAAAAATTGAAAATGTGCTTAATGTTTATCCTAATAGTCCAAACCATGTGAAAGCACCCATGTCAAAGAAACTACACAAAAGTCTCTTTCTTTTTTAAATTGATCGAACTAGGATTCAAACTTCAAGTGTCATGGAAAACATTTCTATCATCCCTAAGAAGAAAAACATGGGAACTTAAAGAAGAGAAAAAAAAATGGAAAGCTTACCCTGTTGTTCGTCGAAATCAATGCTCATCTCTCTTTCCC